CCAATCCGGTGGATGAACACACGTTGGTTTCGGTGTTCATGCAGGGTCTTGCGGATGGTCCCGTCAAGACTCACCTGTTCCGGCTTGAACTAGATTCACTAGAACAAGCCATTTCCATTGCGGAGCAGGAAGACTTCAGTCTGAGACAGGCTCGCGCCAGCTCGACATCATATCGTCAACCGAGACGATATGACAACGGAGGTCCAGAGCCGATGGAACTCTGTTATGTAGAGAGCGAGAAGGCTCGCTCTACAGGCTACAAGAAGTTGCAGAGATGCAACAGATGTCAAAAGACAGGACACTACGCTTACGAGTGTAGTGCCCCTCGTCCAGTGTCTCGCGACACTGGGCGTAGTGACCGTCCACCCATGAGAAAGGGGCAGGGACGAGGGTCCGCAGTTGGTGCAAAGACGCAACAACGGGATGGACCGTCAAAAAACGGACAGGATCAGTAGGTGCGGAGCACCCTACTGATCCAGCAACGTCAAGAGAATTTGTAGGCCTCTTGATGAAGGTTGCTCCCAACACACAGACATTGTGCGTTGCTGCTCTAGGTAATGAGATCTCACTCATTACCTTGAAACTCGAAGTGACGAATAAGTTGTCCCTTCGAGCTCTAGTCGATTGTGGGGCGTCCAACAATTTTGTGCGACGCCAATCGCTAGAAGATGGTCACTTTAAATTCAGTGAATGTGACACACCTCCTACGAGGATGACGGTACGTCTTGCGACAGGCGCATCCGTAATCCGTCATGAAGCGTATAGTGAAGATTCACTATACGCTAGAAGATACCCAATACGACGATGACTTTATCGTATTGGATTTGGATGACAAATTTGATGTCATCCCTGGAATACCGTGGCTCAGAAGGTACGAACCACGGGTAAACTGGCAACATCGGACAGTAACGATGCTCTGCCGCTTGTTCATCAGATGGCCATCTGATGAACGTTTTGGAGCGTCCACAAGCGTGTGGATGTACTACGAGTGAGTGCGATGGCCTCACTTGTGGTACGGTCGTTAGTACGACTGCACAAAACCTTAGTGTACCAAACGGTTACACTTCGGAGCAAAGTTCCGGCGGCTGTGAGGAAACACAGGCTGCGCTGAAGGTCCACCACTCGAATAAGTCGGGTGGACTGGGACAAAGATGTATCCCTAGAGGGGAACATCTAGAAGAGAAACAATCGATCGCTCAGGTTAAGCGAAACGATAATCCTAGATCGACTGGAGAGTCTTTCGTAGAGGATCTCGCTGTGGTTGCGCAACCCCAGCTAGAGGAAGTAAAGGGAATAAGTCCCAAGATTACAAATACGGCGGAAATAAGTTCCCCGAAACCCGCGGGAATAAGTCCCCGGGAAGACGAAGGAATAAGTCCTTCGAAGCCTGAGGGAATAAGTCCCCAGGAAATGACAGAGACATTGAATGTCATAGTCAATAACGGATCATGTGTAGGCGCTTATACACTTGATCTGATTGCGCCTCCGAAGTTAACTTCGGAGATCACTCAGTTGCCAACGCTCGAACATAAAAGGTTCTTGCGTGATCTGCGTAGTGGCAAAGTCAAGCAGATCTGCATACTCGTCGCTGACGACGAGTATGTAACCGACATAAGGTCAGCAACAGTGTTTACTGAGAACGAGAGAGTTCTCAGTAGTTCATCTATGGACGAGAGTGTCCTAGATGAAAAGACACGAATTGAGCGATATGAGTCCCAATCATGGGAATCGCTCAAGGAAAATCCTCTCTATGAGGATTTGGTTGAATTCAAGGATGTATTCCCTGAAACTGTTCCGTGCGAATTACCGAAGGATAAAGGTATTCGACACGAAGTCGAGCTTAAACCAGGCTCGAAGTACTGTGTCATGAAGCAGTGGCCACTGCCTCGTGAACAAGTACTTGCGATCGACAAGTTCTTTGCCGATCGTTTAGCAGCGGGCCATGTGAGGGAATCAACTTCCCCACATAGCTCTCCGACCTTCTGTGTGCGAAAAGCAACAGGAGGGTGGCGGATAGTGCACGCGTTTAACAAATTGAACGCTGCAACGGTACCGGCTCAGACGCCGATACCGAGGAAGGACGTAATCATTGATGGTATGTCAAAGAGTACCATCTTTTCGTCCATGGATTTGATGGATGGCTTCTATCAAATCCTAATGCGGGAACGGGATATACCCTATACCGCAGTTAGCACGCCTAGCGGCATGCTCTGGGAATGGCTAGTAATGCCACAAGGGCTCAGTAATGCCCCTGCCACGTTCAACAGATGTGTATCACATCTGTTGAGACCAGTACGAGAATTCGCGCCGAGTTATTTCGATGACGTATTCATCCATAGTCGAGCTATGGATGGAAAGTCGGACGTTGAGGTTCACAGGTACCACGTCCGACAAGTTCTTACAATCATGCGAAAGCATCAATTGTATGCAAACCTCAAGAAGTGTATATTTGCAGCAAGCGAAATACCACTTCTTGGGTGCATCGTTGGTAAGAACGGTGTACGTCCTGATCCCGAAAAGATCAAGGCGATCACCGACTGGCCTGTGCCGGTCGATGTCAAAGGTCTTCGAAAATTCCTTGAGCTAGCGGCGTATTTGCATAAGTATTCACGCAATTACGCCGAGATGACTGTACACCTCTCTCGTTTGTTGAAAAAGAACGAGAGGTGGTTATGGAACGCTGAATGTCAACGCTCCTTTGAGGGTATCAAGCAGAGCTTGATACAATCCCCAGTCCTAGCAATAGCCGATCAGGACAGGCCATTTCATGTGGTCTGTGATGCCAGCGATTTCGCAATCGGCTGTGCATTAATGCAGTACGACCTTGAAGGCGTTGAACGCGTCGTCTGTTATCAGTCGCGTCAGCTGCAACCAGCTGAGCGGAACTATCCAGTGCATGACAAGGAACTCCTTGCCATGAAGTATGCACTCGCGAAGTTCAGAGTCTATCTATTAGGAGATAGACCCTTCGTTGTTTACACTGACCATGCGTCCTTACGCACGGCAGTGAACAGCCCGCACCTTTCACAACGAATGGCGCGGTGGTTGTCATTCTTTGCAGAATACAACTTTACGGTCGAGTACAAACCAGGACGACTTAATGTCGTCGCTGATGCACTCTCACGTCGTCCCGACTTTGAAACAGTCGCGAAACCCAACAGTGAGACAGTCACTGTTGCGGTTATGACGTCCTCAGTTCCATCTACAACGTTGTATGATGATGTGAGGCGGGCATACGCCCAAGATGGTGAGATAGTGAAGTTGTTGTCACATCTCTCCCAACCATCTCGAGAATCGTTGAAACGATTGTCGTCTGCGTATCGATCTGCATCAGATCGATACACTACTCGTAACGGTTTACTGTACTATACAGCCGTTTCTGGTGACACACCACGTGTTGTCATTCCAGATGATACTGATCTGCGTTTGCGGATCATGTTCGAGTATCACGATGCTCCTATAGGAGGACATCGTGGCCGAGAGAAAACATATCTCACGGTAAGTCGAGACTTTTTACTGGCCCCGCCAGTATCAGTTTGTGCGAAAGTATGTTCGCGCATGCGAAGTCTGCCAACGAGTGAAGTCAAGTCCTTCACTGCGTGCACCTTTACAGCCTCTACCGGTTCCGGCTGAGTGCTGGGAATCCATCTCAACGGATTTCGTCTTCGGGTTACCCAAAGACGCACGCGGGAATACGGGTATTCTCGTATTTGTTGACAGATTCAGCAAAATGGTACACCTTGTGGCTGTACCAGAGACAATCACGGCAAGTGGCTGTGCTTGTGTCTTTATTGACACCATCTTCCGACTTCATGGGTTGCCCCGTGAACTCGTATCAGACAGAGATCCACGATTCACTGCTGATTTCTGGCGTTCCGTGTTCAAATCACTCGGAACGCGCTTGAAGATGTCAACATCTGATCATCCAGAGTCAGATGGTCAGACGGAACGTGCCAATCGTGTCCTTGAAGAGATACTTCGAGGATACGTACACTCCTTTAAGAGTTGGAGTGAGTTTTTGCCGATGGTAGAGTTTGCCATCAACAACTCGGTGCATGCGTCCACGACACATACACCGTTTTACGTGAATGGCTTGCGCCATCCGCGTGTACCCACCTTACTAGAGTGTAACTCTGGTTTAAGGGGGGAGGGACTCGCGCGAGCAAAAACCGATTTGGTTCACGCTCATCACGCTCTGACGAAGAAGTCATTGCAGTTTGATGCCGATATCGATAACATCGATATCGAAGAAGATGATGCCAGTGAGAGTGCGGAAGCCCTCACTGAAGACAATGATCCCAGTGAGAGTGCGGAAGCCCTCACTGAAGAAAAGGTTGTTGTCGCTGCAGTGCGCTCACAGCACACTGAAGCTAACGAGTCATCAGATGAGTTCATACTGGCTCGTGAAACGGTAGTCCGTTTTGTGCAAGACTCCATCGCCGAAGCGGTGGATAAGCAAAAGCAAAACGCTGACAAGAATGGAAGGGCAAACACTCTTTTATTTAATAAAGGTGACTTAGTCCTACTGTCTACGGTTAATCTTACCAAAACATGTAGTGACTAACTTGGGTAGCAGTAAACTACTACCCAAGTACATTGGCCCATTTCGTGTATTGCACCGCCTAGGCAATGCATACACGATCGAGTTACCACGTAAGATGCGAACGCATCCCACGTTTTACGTTGGTCGGCTTAAGCCGTACCATCAGTACGCTGCTTCTTCCGATGAAGAACGCCCTTGCGCTCAAGCATCTCGCAGAGAGCCTTGTGCTCCTGATGGTGGGCATCAACAAGGGTCTGAAGAGCAGTTATCTCAGCCCGAGACCGATCAACAATCCCACGAGCTACCCTTTAGCTCGTCACGAAGAGATGTCAGAGATCTCTCGTTCTCAAGCTGAGCAAAGGCAAACTCAGCTCGATGCTTCGAGGCAGTGTCCACCATCTGGAGACGCCTATTCCGCTCATGCTCGAGATCGTCGCGTAACCCTTGCGTTACGCGATCAAAGAAGCTCTCGGGAACACACCGATCCACATGATCGTGTGGAGAGCGTCTTTCCTCCTCCTCCACCTCCATTAGAGGACTCCTCGCGGTGGCCAGCGCTATCTAGTAGAGCAGCTGTTGAACCACCGCGACGTGAACGGACGTCGGACGAGTTACCTCGTCCGGTGGCGCGGCTATCCCCCGTCCTGGGATTCTTGGGAGCCCCGCTCCCAATTGATGGTTGACGTACTGGGTCTGGTCGAGCAGTACGACGCGACACATCCTGTGCCGCAGAAGGACCGCCGGAGAAAGTCTTCCCGGCACGGTCGTAAAGGGATTTCAGGTTGTCAATCCCTTCGTACATCTCAGTAGAGACACGTACGCGCCACCACGGGCTGGTAAGGAGGTAAGCCTCCTTAGGTGCTCGTGCAGAGTTGTTCACACAACATGGGCACGAGTCTCCCCAAGAGAGGCAGGGTAATCCTTTCTCCCTTGACAGACGATGCAGCTTGTAGCGTGCACCTGTCGGGGTTCGCTTTTCAAACTTATCACGAGCTTTGATAAGTTTGTCGTTCCAAGCGTCACGACCTACATCCTCGAGATTATGGATGTAGGCGTTCCACGCCTGAAGTAGTGAGGGACCATCACGTTTGTGATTCCCACTGTACCATCGATGTCTGAAGAAAGCATCGATGAAGAACTCATGTTCAGCGCGATAGTCTTTCGCGCTGGGGTCAAGGTGATGAATCCTCGACGAATCGAACAATCGTGTTCGATAACGATCACTCGTCGTCGCCGACAAGTGATCCATGACAGATTTAGGAGGCATCCATGCCTTCTTTTCTGGAGCGAGACGCAACACATTGCGGTCCCGCTCTTCCTGCGACGTGCCGACAGAAGTACTGGCACCTCGCTGTGAAGTGGTGTCCATTGGAGAAACGACACCACTATTAGCGCCCGAGTCTCGCGACCTCGAGCGCCTTCGCTTGGCGATGGTTCATCTGACTCATCAGATGAACCAAAGATGCTGCGACGCAAAGCATCGTCCATGCCACGCTTGGCAGGCGGCTTGGATTCAATTGCCGTCGATACGGATCCGTCATCCGTATCAGGAGAGTACGAGACACCGAGCTCGTACTCTGTGAAGACACGAGTGTCTTCATGACCAGCGCCTGCATCACCAGGTGATACAGGCTGAGTCGATTCAGCAACCGATGGGACATCAGTTGCTGTAGTTTCTGCTTCGGCGTCCGCACAGAGACGTGCAGACGCGCTCTCGGCGGCCTTAGCTCGCGCATCGCATGGGCTTGTTTACCATGCGATGAGATGTTGGAAAGTGGACGCGGACCAACAAGTGCAAACCCCGTCCCAAATGATTTGGGACGAGTATCCATTTAGTCAATCAGTCACTAAAGTGACTGATGGTTAAGGGGGGTGATGTAACGGGGTGAATCGTTACATAACAATTTATAAGAAATTGTTAATAGAATATAACTATAAGAGTTATATTCTCAGAATATTGTCATAAGGACAATATTCTGTAGCACTTCCAAGTAGTTCCTAATTGGTTGATATAGGCCATTATATCAACCAACGAAGACGCGCCACGACAGACGCACGCAATGAGTGGTGAGCAGATAACTGATTTACACATTTGTATTTAGACATAGTTAGATGAAGATAAATAGTGATTTATTAACAGACATTAACTATTATAAATACAGTTCTACTTTTTACTCTAACCGAGTACTCGCTTCTTCTTACCGTCTTCCTCTGCACGTACGAGTGTACGTGAAGTTACGAGGCACCGCCTTATTCTGTTATCAGAATAAGTAGCTTGTACTGTCACCAGTACAAGCTTCAGGGTGCCCCGTTACACTGCTTGTTTTTTTCTGCTTGTTTTGTGCGCAAGTGATGCATGTCATCCGCTTGCGGTATGTCAGTTTGATACCCGAGCTTGGATTTCTTGCGATCTTCTCGATCGCGTCATACCGCACATCGCAACCTCTATAGCGACGGGCTGAAATTTGCGCAACGCCGTCTTCTTCCACGTAACGTTACGACAGCGTCTCGGCTTTATCTTGACTACCAGCCAAGGGGACCAGTCAACGTAAACTATTGAAAAGTCTTAAATGAATACAAACTCTGATTTATACTTCTTAAACCACGTGTCATTTACACTGCACCGATCCTTGCACGAGTTTTAAATAATGTGTCTCACGTCCTGGTCAAACTTTCAAACCATGCCACCTTATAGAATATTCCCATGTAAAAATCCGCTCGGCGCCAGCCCTGAATCCAATACCTTTATAAGGACACATCATCAACTTTCGATTCATGGATTGTGATCCTGTAATGCATTGCATGTGGTGGGAGACAGCGACATGAACACCCCTTAGATACGGTGGCATCGACCTTTGTGCCACCACCGACTTCGACTAGACTGTACGAAGGCAAGGCGGTGTGCGGATGGCCTTTGTACCCGCAGCTGTACTCACCACAACCGCGTTTACAACAAGATGGTGAAAAGGCTGCAAACGTATCGATGACTTGCGAGAATCGCGGCAGACTTGTGCAAATGTAAACATTTCACTGATTGATGAAACAACATCTGTGAATTGAAGCGGACGAGCGGCTGCAATCTTTATCAGCACGTGACAGAAGCCTGCGCGCCTCGTCGCAAATGTGCACATTATTCTCGGATGGATCGTAGAAGAATTACCTCCTTATTTTCTTGGTCGTGTAAGCCTCCTACTTAGCTATCGAGGTCCATATAAGTAATTCACTGAGGCCTAAACACTCACAGAAAGGGGCAATTTGGAAAATTGTTGTCGTGTATCTCTTGTGATGACGTCCGGCTGATAACCCACTCGTATCATCGTGTGTGTTGTACGCAAGAGCTGTATCTGCAGTCACTTATAAGAAGTATACCGATTAATCGAAATGGTCCCCTCCCCGAAACACTGCAACTTCTTGTTCTAACGTATGGGATTAACTTGGTGAGAGTTTAATAAAATACATCTCATATGATGCTGCTCAGATACACTCTTCGTTTCCGAAAAGGACATCGCCTACTCGCATTTGCATTCCGTACAAATGCGCTACTCGATGCGCTACTGAATGATTCATAGCGGACCGTCCGTTTGAATCTGTTCACATTTGCGTTTGTTCACCGCCAATTTGTTAGGTTTACAGGATCTGGGCATTTACAGCTGGTCCAGCAAAAATGTGGCATTTTTGGAAATCTGGTTTTCCAGACTCGTCAAATTCAAATGTGAAGCAGGTTGAGGTTGACGAGACGTTTGGACGTATGCACAATGCGTAGTATCCCCAGCTACCATTTACCAGTATTTAGAAGCCGTGTTTCTGTAATCGATGTAGACAAATCGCATGTCGCACGGTACCGCTTGGGTTTAATCGCTTAATTCTATCCAAAATTATTCATATTCAAAATGCTTTCAGTCTACGTAAACAAAGTCATTGCTACTGTAATAGAAATGACTGAAACTGCACATTTTTTGATGAGGTCCTTTATTAGCATACATCTTGTAGGCTTTCCACCACTTCAACGTCTTGTAAGATCCATCTAAGATTTTCGGCTGCGCTGTCCTTCGAGCACCATCTTCATGCGTATCACTTCATATTTTGAGTATTAGCACTGACAAACGGGCCAGCATTCATCTGCGCGTTCCGCCCTGTATCAACACTAAGTATTAAAAGATAAAGGTTTTCTGTGTCGCTACTCCAAAATTTTCACAAAGCTAGCAGATCGTGTAGCACATGCTGACGTAGAGATCAGAAGACAGAACATTGCAACGTCTCGAGGGCTGTAGTTTTGATATAAATGGAACAATGAGGAGAGAAAAGCACTACTGACCAACCTGCGGAGCAGTCTCATTCCGGCATGTATATGCGACAAACCTTTACTCGAGGTATCCTTGCGCATGCGTTTTTCGATACTATGTTGTTGTGGGTTGAACTTTCCATCAGCGATAATGTTGGACATCCCGTATATTGTCGGAGCGAGTGCACCATGACTTTGTCACCTCCTTTTTGTGTCGTCGTTGTTGACAAACAAATCCATTCCAATAGTCAGAGAAAGCCACAAATCGATGGGAGAAGTCTACCCTTTACAACTAAAGTCTCACTTTACTCGGTCGAGCTTATCATTTCGGTATGTAATAGTTCTAGACGCTCGGTATTTGATACCGCTCCACCGTTATCGATGGTGTGAGCAGGTGCTACATACCTTCGCACGTCTATACTAAATCTCGTGGTCAGTGCTTTTTGACTATGGTAGCAGCCCATCGCTGTATCGCTCGTCCGGCGACGAAATCACACAAACGATGAACAACGTGAGCCATTCGAGGATCCATAGATTCCTCTCAACTTTGTGTCCGGGACTTCCTCACGTATCAGTGAGCAACATAAAAGACCACTGTATATTTATGGTACGACAAAGTGTTACTCTCGTTCAGAAGATCATTAGGATTGACAGGGACGGTCACTTTTAAGCAGAAGACTAAGCAACACATCAACCATATGTTGTGGTTCTTTCAGCGCCATACTTTCCGTCTCTTTTAATGCCGGTCAATACGTGTACAACGATCCTTTTGCAGTCATTCGCATGCAGCCCCAACTGATGCGCTTCTGTCAAGAATAAGACGCACGCCTTTATAATCGTGGCCAGTTGAGCGCTGCGTGACCACTGCTCGCATCGAGGTACACCTACTCCCGTATTTATTGCCGGCAATCAATCCCCTGTCGCGGTCAAAAGAAATTCGGTGGTCACGTGATGTCAGGTCTATCGCGTGGATCAAGTGTGGCGCGATGACATAAATGCACGATGAGTCACGGGATGAGTAATTTTATGCAATACCGACATTCGAAAGAAGATCGATGTGTCATCAGTGAGAGGCATCGAGGCAAGACGACAAGCTCATACTTGCAGATTCGCGTCCTGCTGACAGCCAGGTAAAATGCACATGAAGATGTCAAAGCGGCTTTGCGATTTTCGCCACAAAAAATGGAGGACTAATTCCTTTGCACGTATGTAATCACGCAGTGTGCAGGTTGCAGCGGGTGTACAATCATCAAGATGAGGCTTCACCCGCCAGTGCAGCCGTGCTCGCCTGCACTTGAAGCTGTGATTATAACTCCTCCACGTACAATGATTGACCCTATCGCACAAAATACAGCATTTGTAAATAGTACTGCGCAGTTTCGTCGGACGTGTGGACGTGTGGCGCTTTTTCTTCCTAGCACATAAATTTGGGCCCAAGTCAAAGCCATGGCACTTAAGGTCCTAGTTTACACAAGCTAGTGCATCCTCGGTAAATGCTGCAGTACACCGATACGGAAAAGTACAAACATGATGGACAGCACGACACCTTGCTTGGATCCTTGTGCTCTCCGAGTATCGTGCTCTTCAGAAAAAGCACATGTGTCACAAATGGCTACAACATCCATGAGCTGGTATCGAGCAAGTATTGAGCCTCGCATAAAGTTCTTTGAGCTCCATGAACATTTCCTAATGCTATGAGCACATTTCTGCCTGTGTGGAATCGCGTAAAGCTTGCTTGCGCACCACCTCGAGCACTAAACGGAGTGTGCAATCTGATTCTTTTCGACTTGTGAATCGGCCCACTCAACCTATGCGCACCTTTGTAGGTCTTCCCAGACCGAATCTGTGACCCTGTCAATGCCAGTCCAACTCCGCTCAGATCGTTTCGTCCCACAGCTCAGGACACGCATCGCCTCAGCCTGATCCAAACGACCTCTTGTCCCGCCTCCACCTGTTTGCGATCTTCTCCGATCCCGACGCGGCTTTACGCCCGATCGATTGATGTTCCCCACACTAACCGCCGCCACTCGCGTTTGAACCTCCTTATGGAGTGGCTCGACGTTGCGAAGGACCTGAATGCTGGGACG